GATCCAAGCTACTGCACGTTCACCTGAAGGTTACTAGGTTTGCTTGATCTGGCTCTCAACAAGCATATGAGCTTGATACCCCTAGAGAGCAAATGCAGATTCCTTTCACACAGAAAGTATTGAGTATCTCCAGATCTTAGAGTGCAAATGGGTTCTGAGAACGAGGAGGAAGAGGTTAACCCTCTCCTACTGTCCTGGCCCCTTTATATAGTAGCAGACCATAGTCTGGGATACTAGTACAAGGGGTCCCGCTAAGCTATAGATAGGTGAAACACACCAGAGCTTAACCGCTGTGAGCCAGGTAATTGGCGAGCTAATGTTAGCGCAGGTGAAATACCTGAAATATGAAATAGGAACCAAAGTCCTGGATCACAGATTCTGGGGTTAGAACTTGAGAATAATAGAAGCTGTTCTCAGTCACATAGTGACCTAACAGTTGTCCTTGGTCACATAGTGACTAGTGACCGTGATTGGGCATCTCTTCTAGACGCTTGTTCATGGAGATCACGTGACCATGAGCGACGACATGTTTCGTAACAGAACTGTTTGACAAGTTTCGTGAACAAGTTATCGAAGATAGAGATTTAGAAACAAGTGTTTTGTTTCAAGGACAGTGTGTGCCCTATAATAATGCAGTTGAATGACTTGCTAAGGTCATGTTCTTGCGTGATACAGTTTTTAAAGACATGTTTCAGGTCAAATGCTTTAGAAACAAGTGTTTTGTTTCAAGGACTATGCTTGCCTTGTTTTCACAGTATATCTTAGATAAGAAGGATATATCCTGTCAAGAATAGAGTCGATGGACTGCCATTGATTATCATATGATAGTATGACAAGGAATGAACCAGGCATAATGAGGAGGCTAGTCTTTGTAGTGCTATGCACTCTTCCAGATTGAAGATCCACAAATCTGGGGTGGCTTTAGTTTCTAATCATTTAAGAAAAAACAATGGGTTCTTTGTTTTAAAGACCTAGTACAGATGCAATCTCGGTTGACTTTCACTGAGCTCAGTTGAATTGTACTGTCTGCTTGTCATTGAAGTATCCTATGTACTAATTTCCTGATTTAGAAATATCTGTGTTGAATGAATTTAATGACTATTGAGACAGTGGATATATCTGCAACGTCATTCAATTGAACTAGATATTGGACGACTGCCATTTGATGCAGTTTAAAGACCTGCTCAGGTCAAATGGACACATTTTCTGAGCTTGCCAAAAGCAGTATATCAATCTGCTGGCAGAGCATCAAAAGATACTTGCATTACCATGTTTATCTGATGACAAGTCAGATTTTGTCACAGTATTAAGTGGCACCTTTCTTTTTGCACCATTAAAGTCCTCATTTGAGTGGTTATTCAGACGCCAACCTTCATATTGGTCTCACAAAGTGAATACTTAGACAAACAGCACAATACTGCCACATACATTGCAGATACAACTATGTCTACCACATGACCACCAAGCACCCATAATTCAGCCACCCAGTCACGTGACACTGGCCACTTGCCCTATTGGAAGTTGTCAGACATTGGTCACATGATACCAGGCCACTTGCCTAAAAAGGAACCCTTTCGATCATCAAGCTAGCAAGCACCCTATTCGTCATTCAAATAGTGGCACCACCTTGTCACTCAGATAAGTGACACCAACCCTATTGGCTACTCCATAGTGTCCCCATGTCACCGCTCAATAGTGGCACCACTTTGCTGCTCAAATAGTGACACCACCTTCAGGCAATTATCCCATTGGATGGAATAAGATTACCTTGACGTAACCATGGCCTTTGTAGATAGTTGCTATAGTAGCTACCAGAACCTAACTGGTTATGGTATCATGTTCACATGTAGGTGTCAGGGGTATTTACCTTAGTATAGTGACTGAGGTCCCTACCTGCATGTATATAAGTACCCATGAGGAAGCTGGGTATCCCCAGTTTCATTAATCTATTTCATGTGGCCTAAACAGCCTTCACCCCTCTTTTGTGTGATATAAGGCTAAGAGCCCTTTGAGTCTTGTTTTTCAGACTGCATGTCACTGCATGCCTTTTTGGCCTTGCCCTTTGTGGCAGGCCCTTATTTTAGTATTTGTGCAGGTCACTGAGCGTGGCTAGCACCTTGCAGTCATTTCCTTGCCTTTTGGCAGGATCTATGATGCGCCGTGACAGATTTGCAAGGATTGAATAGTGTGATCACTATCCTCATGGTATGCTTGTGTGTTTGATAACACACTCCATAATCTATGATTGGGTATGTGCTTGTAATGAGCACTCCCTAATCTATGATTGGATGTTTCCTCTTTTCCTACATATTATATAAGTGTATTCAGTGTTTTACTGATATACTACAGGCATTTTGTGGAATGGTGTATTCAGATTGTTACTGATATACTACAGATCTATTAGAGTGATCCTACAGTTCCTCTGATCTGTATTTCCTTCATATCACCCCCACATTGCACATCATCGGGTTCATCGTTAGGAGAGTGTGTGTAATGTACAAATATAAGGAGAGGTGTGCCAGTATGGCATAGGGGTGGAAGGGCAGAAAAAATGACCGATTTTCCTAATTTTATCTACTCTAAGTAATTGTCGATCGGTGATCACATATTTAGTGAATAATAGTTTCAAGTGTCAAGCACCTGCGTGGACCATTCTATGTAATCATAATCTCATGAATAATTTCAAGAATTTTTATACAGATAATGTACATATACAAAATCAATATGTAGTGTCGACGACAGCCTGTGGCTGCAGAATCAAATGGAGTGGTAAAATATTGTCAGTCGACGTATCGAACTAACTTTGCTGATTATAAATTGATTGTCCAATGAAGGTATATACTAATCATATTTTAAGATTTCTCAATTAAGGTACTGCCAGCAAATGTGTGTATTTTTATAGCACCCATGCAGGTGCTTAAATGCCCAAATTATGGTTTTCCAATAAGGTACTATCATAAAAGGTAACTGGTCAGATGACCTAGTTGAGCACTGAAGAGCGCAGTTGCAGGGTGTCACAAAGACCCAAATACGAGGCAAAGTCCGAAGTCTTACTTGCTTAGGGAACTAAGCCGAAGTGGCGGATGTCGCTGACTATAAGAGGCATACTGGACTTGTAGGGGAAGTCACAGTAGCAGTCAAGAGTATCGAGTATTGACGAAGGTAGATAAGTCTGGGGGTGTAAACCCAGACGAGCCCAGTATATATACAAGCAGGGTCAGACCCCTGATATACTGTCTAGCGGGACCATGGACACACCTACAGTGGGTCCATGTGAACGATGACTCAGCACATGTTCTAAGAATAGGCAAAGCTCAGTGTTACCGGCGAGCTATCTTGAGATAAGCCAATAGCATTAATCTACGAAGTCGTACGATGCTATCATGAGACCTTGCCATGCGGCTACAGGGTCAGCTGGCTATACCGGCTGACTATAACTACTCTAACTATGTAACTACCTTCTCAGGTAGCGGAGCTCCATATCTCACGGTGTTGCAGGAGCTTATCCTATTGGAGGATAAGTGACCGGATCTTGAGTCTTCAGATATGGTGCCTTATCTATTAGGCAAAATAGTTGTTACCTGTCATATGACGTGTGCATGTGATGGTGTGCACAGAATCTGCATGTGATGTAATCAGGTGACATGCACTCGTGATATGAGCGCTTAAGACATGCACGTGAGTGGTCTCGTGACCATGAAGCGAGCGCTTAGAAAATGTGGAATGTTACAGTTTGTGACACAGGGTGTCAAGGTTGAAGCGGGGCTCATAATCTGTTGAATGAGCTACATGCTAGTGCAGCATGCGCAGGAACACCCAGCAAGGTGAGGACCTAGTGGGCAAGGCTACAAGACTCCCAGTTAAGGGATCGAGTCTCTCAGTGGAGAAGTCACTATAGATTGTGGTGTAGCTATCTGGTATATATACATGTGGGTAAAGACCCCATATACCGGGTCTGGGACCTCTGGTATCTACAACCACGTCTATCTACATAGATGAGTAATACTACAGTATCTAACACATGACCTGTGGCTGTGTGTACTGGCCAATGGCATATTTACTTTCTATCGTACAATACTCTATGAATATCGTGATTGGTGTCATGATCTCTGTCATGACACACTGCAGACTCCTGATGCTCTTCTGTCGCTGTACATTCCATTCCTCATTAGTTGCATCTGCTCCGCAGCGTGCTCTCGACTACTCGAGGTTGGATAGCCTTGAGGCGGATATTCTTCTTTTGGACACAGATGTTGTGGACGATGTTCTAGTCGTGCTTGGTTTCCTTCAGATGACTCTTGCATCCACTTCTGCTTACGAGATCATTCTTATATTCTTCCTTAGTAATGCTTTCATTCTACATGTATATAAGCTGCGATGATTCTCCTTGAATCGTTGCAGAAACAACGCCAGTAGCCTCTCGACGTACCTTCCTATCTATTCTCTTTGCTCCTCATTGCCTTCGCTCCTTGCATCACCCTTATCTCCTGAGTTGAGCCATTACAGTTTGTTCCTGCCACCCAACTTCCATTCTTGGTCATCCTTTTGCCTTATTTGATAACTTCCGTCTTCGCTGTGAAGCATAGTTCAGCACCTTCGCACCTTCTTCTGCTGCCTCTCTCACCATGACTTCTGATGACATTGCTATGGACCTTGAGACACTCTTCGGCCCTCCTCCTGCTCAGCCTCAGGTTCAGGCTCAGGCCCCCAGTGATATTCCCACTGTCCCCATAGGCACTGATGATCCTCCAGCTTTGCAGGCCCTTGCTCAGGCTGTAAATGCTATCAACGGCCTTGCTGGTGCTCAAACCGCCTTCACCGTCAACCAGGCTTCTATCTAGGCAGCATTGGCCAACATAGCAATGACTCTGCAAAGTGCGATGCCTACTTCAGCTACTTCGGGCAGCACCCCCTCAGGTGTCATTCGCTTCAAAGACCCTCGCACTTTCAATGGTACGCCCGCAGCAGTCAAGCCTTTTCTTGCTGATCTGCGGAATGCTATGCACCTTGCTCACCATCATCTGGTGTCCGACTATGACAAGTGTCTCTACATGAGCACTTGGCTTGAGGACGGTTCCCTCAAGTCCTGGTTCTGGGCTATCGAGAAGACTAAGCCCGATTTGCTCAACGACTATGCTGCCCTCGTTGACAACTTCCGTGCACACTTCGGTGACTCGGACTTTATCAACAGTCAGATGGACAAGATCAAGAAACTCACGCAATGTTCCTCCGCTGCCAAGTATGCATCTGCATTCCATGAAATTCTCATCCATCTTCCCATCCACGATGACCTGATCAAAATCAACATGTCCAAGAAGGGACTCAAGGACGACATCAAGTCTCTGTTCCTCATGATTCAGGCACCTACCAATTTCGACAATTATGTTGCCCAAGCCATCACGTTCGACAATCGCATCTATGTGCATGCTCAAGAGCTCAACATCGATTGCAAGAATGTAATGTCGATTCTACCTATCCCCGCTGCTCCCCGCCAGTCACAGCTCTCTACCACATCATACACTCCTGCCTTGACCGACCCTGTACCCATGGAGGTCGACGCCGTCCGACATCACGGGCCGCTTTCTGCTGAAGAGAAGCAGTGTCACCGTAGCTTAGAACTGTGCAGATACTGCGGTGGTAAGCATGACATCAAGTCGTGCACTCTTCTTGCAAAGCGCAACACTTCTTCCTCTTCGTCTGGTTCTTCCCAGCAGGGAAAAGCCAAGCCAGGGGCTCACTGAATGTCCCAGAGCCTCCAGAGACAAATGGGACTGCTTTGCCCTCGTCTCCGGCTCCCTGCAGCACCCACATCAAATTGACCTCTGGGTCATGGGTATTGCATGCTACTAGTGCCCCCACATTCTGCCTCTCTCAACATCTCATCTCGTCCTTACACGACAGCAATCACTTCTTCATTAATGTATCCCTTATCTTCCCTAACCGCAAACCTGTTCATACTTTCACACTAGTAGACTCCGGAGCCACGACCTCGTGCATCTCGGACTGCTTCGCACAGTGTCACTCTCTTCCATGCTCGCTCAAAGACACACCTGTGCCTATTACTGCTGTTGATGACTGCCCAATCACTTCTGATCTCGTTACGCAGAACGTTCCAACTCATCTTCACATCTGCGACCATGATGAGCATATCACGCTCTCTGTGATCTCTGTTCCCTATCCCATTATTCTCAGCCTTGATGTCACGGTAACACCAGACAAGAGATCAAAAAGACTAAAAAAGGGACAGTCACGTGGAACGTGCCGCCCTGATCTCCCTGATCCCAAAGGAATCTCCCTGAACCCTATGTGGCACAAGAGCCTGTTGACTTACTGGTCAATGTGGCAGATGCAGGAAAGGGTGAGAGATATATGAAGGAGCTGGTGAGCTCAGTGAGTGCTACAGGTAGTAAACGAGGAGAAACAATCTGAGGTTTCGTCCCCTACATGGCTGGTCTTATATACACGTACAGCGGGCTATCTTACCTAAGCTACCTATCTACGGGTATAAGCAAATGGCTGTACATGAAACAATAGGATGTCCAGAAGTAGAACAATAAGTGAGAAGATCGATGGTTGCCGCAGTAATGCGTGTGCACATCGTGCCTATCTTGG